AGCTAGTGGCCAGCTGGTTTGCTTTTCTGATATTCAGCTTGAAGCTTGAATCCCAATATCAGTCTCTGGGTCATTTATCTATTCGTGTTACATAGCAAAATGTTGACATTCATTTAACTTGAGTAATTCATGCATTTGGATTCATTATATTGTTCTATTTTTCTTTTCTTTTTAGTGTGTTTGAAATTTCCCTAAGAAACTGTTGAATTAAAAGAAAGGAAATGGGGGATAGAGAAATGGGACAGTGGATAAGAGCCCTGGCTGTTCTCCCAAAGAACCTGGGTTCAATTCCCGGCACCCTCATGGCAGCTCCAAACTGTCTACAAGTCCAGTTCCAGGGGATCTGACTCCCTCACACAGACAGACACACAGCCCAAATACCAACACACATAGAAATTAACTGAATAAATAAAAATTACTAAAAAAGGGAGGAAGGAAGTAAATGATCTGGTGGTGGTGGCCCACACCTTTTAATGCCAACACCTGGGAAGCAGAGATAGTTGGATTTCTGTGAGTTTGAGACCAGCCTGGTCTACAGGGGGAGTTCTAGGACAGCCAAGGCTACACAGAGAAACTCCGTCTTGAAAAACAAAACAAAACAAACAAACAAAACAAAAAACAAAAAAAAAGGAAGAAAAAAAGAAAGGAAATGAACTCAAATATAAATTCTTCGTTTCACAATTTATCTTAAAGGGATAGAAGAAAATTAACAAAGTAACCAAGATACAGTCAATCCGTAAGGAAACCCAACTGGTATAGAATTCAACTTTAAGGGCCAGTGTGAGGACTTAGCAGGTAATGGCACTTGCTGCCAAGGCTGATGACCTTAGAGAACCATCTCCTGCAAGTTGTCTTCTGACTTCCACACATGCATCACAACTCACACGGTTTGCCCACATACACACAATAAAAAATAAATAATAAAATCTAACTCTACAGAATTGTAGACATTCTACCTAAGAGGACACATTTTATTTACAAATGATCTCCATCTCCCCTTGTTTTGGAAATTCTCTTGAGGCAGGGTTGTTTGGTGGGTGGGTATGTATTACAGGTACACACCAGGCATATATACACTGTGTGTATCTATATTACACACCTATCCATATATGCAAACACACACACACACACAAACACAAACACGGTGGTTTGAATATGAATTCTCTGCCAAATGTCTATGAGAGTGAACCCAAAGTCCCCAGCTAGTGGTGCTGTTTGAGAGGGTTCTTTAGGTTTCATGAACAAAGGAAAATGAGGTAGTAAACTTCTATTTTTTAGTAATCTGAAAGTGACTGTTTTTCTCTGTCTCCCCCCCCCCCTTAGAGACAGCTGCAGAACAAGGCTCAGTGATACTCCTGTATTGTATGGGTTCAGGATCCACTAGATCTTGTCTTTGGAAACTAATATAGTGGGAAAACCAAGTAGCATCGGATTTCACCTTGTTTAAAAGTAATTTATCTCTTCTTTTCTAGAGATCTTTTTTCTCTTAAGATATGGATATTTGAGCTGGTGAGATGGTTCATTCACATTCAGTAGGTAAAGGCTTGCCTCCAAGCCTAATAATCTGAGTTCTATTCCCAGAACCTCATGGGGTGGAAGGAGAGAACCAACTCCTGTCCTCTGACCTCTACACACACACACACAGACACACAGGCACACAGGTACACACACACACACACACACACACACACACACACACACACACACAAATGCATGAATGCACACAGGGACACATATGCACACACACAGGGACATACAAAGATACACACACATACATACAACATATACACATTTACAATATATACACATGTACACATACAAGAAGAAGAGGATTTATATGCTATTGTCATATGCTCCATCAGTAGTTTCTGATTAACATTACCCAGAAAAACATCCAAACTCTTAAGTTCTAATCTCATTTCCTTTTCTAGTCCTGAGCAGTTTATGGTTCTGGTTGCCTCTGACCCTGTCACTCCATGGATTGTTTTGGTCCTAGACAGCTGGCTGCTTTACATGAAAGCTTTTTTTTTTTAATCTTTCTCAACCATAGGAAAACTTCCTGTGCTGAGATCTCTTACACATTGAGGATGGAATTAAGAGGGAACAGATGATTTCATAAGATTCTTAGAAAGATCTCAGAAGGACCTGTCTCCTGGTGAAAAAAAAAAAAAAACCCACCAGTAAAAGACAGTGTTCACATACCAAACATTTCTGTAAAGTATAGAATGCATAGGGAATCAGACACCAAAACACCCCACTGGCCTGGGGATCTATGCTATTTCCCTTTTTTAAGTGCATTTGTTTATTTCCGAGGTATGCACATGCCACAGCACACATGTGGTGGTTAGAGGACAACTTGCGGGAGCTATTCTGTGTGGATCCTACTGGGTGGATTCTGGAGGTTGTCAGGCTCAAGGTATACACCTTTACCCATGGTGCCATCTTTCCAGCCCTCTATGTCATTTTTATAGGTGAAATTATATACATAAGTGGATGTTTACAATGGGTGAAAATTGTATTTATGTATAGATGGAAAATTCACTACTTTTTCTCCCTTTCCTTCCCTCTCTCTTCTTCTCTTTTTTCTTCCTTCCTTTCTTTTTCCCTCCTTTCCCTATTTCTCCCTTTCTTCCCTCCCTTTCTGTTTCATGCCCTTTCCCCTTTCCAACATAAGCTCTCCCTGTAGCCCATGTTTCCCTTGAACTCGTCATCTTCCAAGCACCAGGATGACAGGCATGTACTATCAGACCTGGTTGAATGGGAATTGATTTCTTAATAGTACATTTATTATTTAGCCAGATTTTGCTCCATGCTGTATAAACCAGGAATATAATAACCTATAAAACAAAGCAATGTGCACACATTTCTCTCACTTAAAGGGAAGCCCTGGTATATCACCTACTTGTTGCTGTGATGAAATACCTGACATAAGCCTGGCTCACAGCTCGAGGATTGTGGTTCAGATTCCCAGAAACCCATGTAAATGCCAGGTGGGCATGGAGGACCATCTGTAATGCTAGCTGCGGAAGGAGGCAGAGGATCCAGAGAGCAAGCTAGTGAGTAATACTCTTCATATTGGTGAGCTCTAGGTTTGATTGGGAGACCCTGCCTCTATGGATAAGGTGGAAGAGTGATAGAAGATGATTCCATACATGATCCTGGGGTCTCTATGCGCACATGCACACAAAACATGTATACTACACACATGCATGAAAAGTAGAAAAATACCTGAATGCATAATTTAAGAAAGGAAATATGTATTTGTTTATGTATATATTGCTATGTATGTCCATTACACATACACCAAAAAAGTTTAATGATTGGCAACAAACTTGCCTGACATACAAAGGTCCTGGGTTCTATCCCAAGTGCCACAAACAAGCAAAACTCTCTTAGTTTTCTAAGACAATGCTTCTCAACCCTTGAGTCATGATCCTCTTGAGGGTCAAATGACCCTTTCACAGGTGTTGCCTAGGACCATCTGGGAACACAGATGATTTATAGCAGTAACAAAATTACAGTTATGTAGTAGCAATGAAAATAATGTTATGATTGGGGGTCTTCACAGTATGAGAAACTGTATTAAAGGATCATAGCATCAGCAAGTTTGAGAACCACTGATCTAAGAGATCAGATCTTAAATTCATTTCTCCCTAGCAGCAACTACACAGATGCATGTATGTTAATTAGCTTGATGGTACTGATCATTTCACACTGTACATCTATCAAAACATCACAAACTGAACAGCTTTAAAATATACAGCTCAGCAAAATCATCCAATAAAGAAAAGGGGAACAGGGAAAGGAAATATGTCTGTGTTTGTGGGCAGAGGAGCATCACTCTAACGAATTTTAGTGACAAGCTTTGGGGTCACTGAACAACCTGAATTAGCCTCAAATATGGTGGTCCCCTCTTGTCCCTGGTGATCCCTCCAGATACACATCTACTTCTGCAAGGACAGTGCTTCACACTTTCCTGCTGTCACCTTTTACCCTTCATTGGCACTGTTATCAGAGTATAGAGAGATGTTCAAATCATTCTTGTCTTCAAGGAAAAATGAAGAGGCTTTGGAAGCATGGATCAGTAGGTAAGACTGCTTGTGCAAGCATGAAGGTCTGAGTTTAAATCCCTAACACCTGTGTAGAAAGCTGGCCGTTGCTGTAACCCAGCACTACACAGAGTAAAGACAGGAGAACTGATGGGGATTGCTGGCCTAGTCAAGCTGTAGCTTCAGGGAGGGACCCTGTCTCAGGGGACTAAGGAAGAGAGTTGTTCTAGTTTCATTTCTGCTGCTGTGACAAATACCTTGACCAAAATCAGTACTGAGAAGGCAGGGTTTATTTGGTTTACAATTCCAGGTTATGTCCATTATTTGGGGAAAGTCAAGTCAAGAATTTAAGCAGCTGGTCACACCACATCCACAGTCCAGAGCAGAGAGGGGACAAATACACCCTTTCTTCCTTGCTTGCTTTCAGCCCTCTTACACTGTTCAGAATCCCTTTCCTAAGCAATAGTGCCTTTCACAAGAGACTGTGTCTTCCTTCATCCATCAACAATTGGAGACAATCCTCAATAGACAAGCCCACAGGCCAACCTTATCTAGAAAATTCCTCAAGCAGACTCTTCCCAGATGATTCTAGGTTGTGTCAGGTTGACAATTAAAATTAACCATAATACCATCAAAATACTCTGGAGAGAAATTTCAATTCAAGAGACTACTTAGTTTCTAAGAAGAAATTAAGCACAAAAAAAAGCACCAGACTCTTTACTTAACATCCAGAGCAGGTCACTAAGAGATGAGATACACCAGTCAGTCCTCAGAGAAGGAAAGCCCACGTCAAAACACACTTAAGAAGTGTTGATGTCTCTGCTTAAATATCTCCTCCAGAATGGGCTGGGATAAATGAATCTGGCTTGATAGGTATAAAAAAGCTTTGAACATACCTCAAGGACGAAGTTCACATCACAAATCAGGAGGAAGGGATGCCAAATTACCCACCTTGATTCCGAGCTCAATATTCTCTCCTCCGTACACATCCATCCCAGGGTCCAGCAGACCAATTTCACCAAAGAATTTCCTGTTGACCACAAATGAGCAGCCAATCATGGCTGGTGTCCTATGGGAGAAAGAAGCAAGACTGTCAACATGTAGGCAGGCGATGTCTTCTTTTTGCAGACATTTATCATAAGGTGCATAGGGATTTCTGCGTTAGTACTCTTGGAGCCCCCAGTCTCCATCTCTTCATAAGGCTGCCTTTTAGCTGCAGAAGAACAGGGGGTACAAGCACCTACGTATATTCTGGATCCCCGGTAAACAGGGTAAAGACTGGTCTCAGGACAGGTGTGATGTCTACCACATGGAAAGTGGTTCTCATTGCATTCCCATGCCAGTGGAGTGAGTCCATGGAAGTTCAGAGGCTGTCAATGAATTTCAGTGTGAGCAGTGACTTTAATCTGCTCTACCCCAGGAAGCAGAAGGGGCTGACTGAACTTGAAGTATGAAGGCAAATCAGAGAATATGTGATAGTTAATCTTCAATGTTAACTTGCTGGGTTTGGAATCACCTAGGAGACACACTTAGGATGTGCTTCTGAGGAGTTTCTGGAGAGATTTAACTAAGGAGGAAAGTCCTCCACAAGTGGAGGGTGGTACCAGCCCATGGGGTGGTGTCCTGGACTGAATAAAAAGGAGAGAGCAAAGTGAGCATCAGCATTATCTCTGCTTCCTGACTGTGTGACCAGCAGCCCTGGGCTCCAAATGCCACGATGGACTTTGTGCCTTCAAACTGTGAGCCAAAACAAACCCTTCCTTTCCTAAGTCACTTTCATCAGGTATTTGGTCACAGCAATGGGGAAAATAACTAGCATAGAGTTCAAAATCCAAAGCATTCAGTATCCATGTTTTATCTGGAGACACTAGACTTGGAAGTTGGTGTCTTAAGAAGGGAGAACACTCACAGAGGAAGGTATTTATATCTATGGATATCTGAGACACCACTCCAGAAAAGTTCTTATGTAATCTGGATGCCTCCTCATTGGAACACGACTAAGGGAAGACAGCTCTCCAGACGGGTGTGAGTCCTCAGGAGACCACATGAAGCCTGTCCTGTCCATCTGCATCCTGGGTACTTCATCACAACTTAGAGACAAGGATTGGGAATCTGGCCCTGATGGAGAACAAAGAGCCACACTACTGCTGATGGTATCTTGTGAAGAGGTTGTGTTCCAAATCTGCCACAGTGTCAAGGAGTCTATCAGAGATTGTGGAGAGAAGAGGCTGAAAGGAGCCCTAGGATGAGGTCCCAGGGTGCAGGATCACTTTGAAACAAATGTAAACCCAGGGATCTGGGGGTACCTCACAATGCTAGGAACAGGTCAGATTCCTGGCTAAACACATAGTAGAGCTGGGCCTAGTGGTGTATATATCTATAATTCCAGCAGGAGGGAGGTGGAGGCAGAAATGTTTATGAATTCAAGGTTATCTTGGGCTACACAGTGAGCTCAAGGTCAACCTGGGTCACATAGGGAGTTCAAGGATTTCTTGAGCTACATGGTGAACTTAAGGCCAGTCTAGGGCACATCATATGTACCCTCAGCTCTATAGTTAATTCACATCTAGCCTAGGCTACTTTAATGAGTTCAGGCTGAGCCAACCAGCCTTGCTGCTAAGCCCAGGGCATAACTGCTTGCTATTCTGGGACCATATAGCTGGACTTTAAACGATCATCTGTCCTTTCCATGGGAGAAACAGTTCCCTGGCAAGAAGCTGCTGCCTGACACAATGAGACCTGCTGTGCCTGGTGGCAGGTGAGCTAGCCACATCCTCACCATTGGTGAACTGCGAACAAAGTGTGACCTCACTTCCACTGTGGGCATCCATGCCACCTGTTCAGCCATGTGAGCTGTAGTCAATAACACTCTGGGGATGAGGGGGTCCTTGAACGCAGCCTCATTATTCAAACGCAACTGCAATTACTACCATTAGCACAAACATTCCAACTCAAAATCATTCAAAAATGATAATCATATTAAGGGGATCTGCCAATGTCCTAATAGCTCCATTACAGAGACGAAGAACGGAAACGAAAAACAATCAGTTTTATTGTTGTTATTACACAAAATATATGCACCACACATAAGTAGTCCAGCTGACAGAGAGAGAGGAGGGAAGGGAGAGTCAGCCAGCAATGGGTGGTAGCCATGAGGACTCCCATTCAGAGGCATAAAGCTTTCTGGGTTTTCATGCTGGCCCTTTCACAGGTTTGACTAAGAGCCTGATGCCATTTGCTTCCACGTCTCCTGTGGTTTGAATCTAAAATATTCCCCACAGGCTGTCTGAGAGAACCTTTAGGGGGTGGGACCTAGTTGAAGGAAGTAGGTCACTAAAGGGGTGTGCTTTGAAGGTCCTACTTCAAACCCTACTTCCAGCCTCTGATTTCTGGTCGACTATAATGTAAGAATGTCCATCCCAAACTCCATCCATGAACTCCATGTTTTTCCAGCCACGATAGAAGGAAGGAACGAATCCTTCTAAAACATGGGCCAAAAGAGCACCTTCAACCCAAGATGAATAATGTTGATTATTAACTTGAAGGGATCACTTTAGAGACAATCCTCTGGGCAGGTTCTCTGAGGTGTTGTCTTAGGGTTTCTATTGCTGCGATGAGACACTATGGCCATGGCAACTCTTACAAAGAAAAACATTTAATTGGGGCTGGCTTACAGTTTTAGAGGCTTAGTCCATTATCATCATGATGTGGCATGACAGTGTGCAGGCAGACATGGAGCTTGAGAAGGAGATGAGAGTGAAGGAAGAGCTATATCTTGATCCACAGGCAACAGGAAGTGAACTGAACTAGGCATAACATAAGCACAGGAGACCTCAAAGCCTGCCTAACAGTGGCACACTTCCTCCAACAAGGCCATACCTAGTTCAACAATGCCTCACCTCTTAATAGTACCACCCTATGATCTTATGGAGGTCAATTACATTCAAACTACCACAGGTGGGAAGACCCACCCTGAATATAGGTGTCACCATCCAATAGGCTGGGGTCCTGGACTAAATTTAAATGCTATGTGACCTCCAATTTTTGCTGCTTTGACTTCCACACCATGATAGACTGTATCTTTCAAACTACAAGACAAAAACAAAACCTTCCTTTAGTAGCTTTTGTCTTGTGGTTTGTCACAGCAATGAGATAAGTCACTAGTACACTCCTATAGTAAACAGCTGGCAGAGACTTATTAGTGGAGTTCCTGCCTAGAGTCCCCCAGTGAGGTTCTGGAGCTGCAGGTTAGTGGTAGATCATCTGCTTAGGATGCCCCATTGTGGAGTTATGGGTGTGTGTGAGCAGCAGTAGAGCTCCTGTTTCGAATCCCCCAGTGAAGGGTTGGTGGCATGACCACATGGTGGTTCACTTACGTAACTACGTAAGGCCCTGGATTCAATCCACAGCATCTACAAAGACGTCTCAATGTCTCAGCATTAGCTTCAGCAACTCTTATTCTAGAGTATAGTCAGCCCGGTTCTTTCTATAGCTAGTACTGTCAGCCCTCTGCTCATAGGTTTTACACCCATAGATTCAACCAACCACCAACTGGAAATACTTGAAAACGGAATTGCATCTGTGCTCAATATATCTGGATTCCTCTTCTTACCCTTATTCCCTAACATCATAATGCCAACTTGCACACTGACATCCTGCTGAGGATTTCAGTGTTGAGATGATTAATGGCCTAGGACGATGTAGGCTTTGTGGGGACACCACATTGTCTACATAAGACACTTGAGCATATTGGATTTGGGTAACTGTGGCAGGGTCCTAGGGCCAATCCTCAATGCACAGAACTGAGGTACAACTCTGTCAACTTCTTTGGCAATGGGTATCTTGGTCATTGACATCCCACTTACTACAGTGCATGATATCATGCTCCATTTATTCCTTATGTGCTTCCCCATAAGCCGAGTGAGGTCCATGAGGGGATGCTGCCCTTCGCTTCCAGAAGCTGATTGCTAAGGCTAGCAGGGGCTAGAACAGAGGAGCGGGAAGATCTGTCTGCAACAGTTGCTTAGTCCAGCAAAGCCCTTTACTGGGAACCTCTCTACTTTTAGGAGATTTATAACCCTCAGTTACACTACTTTAGAGATGTCATTAAGTCCATTTCCCACCAGAGGGAACTGACACTCAGATACTGTGCTTAGCTAGCTTTCCATTGCCATAGCAAAACACCAGAGATTCACTTACAAAGAAAAGAAGGTTCATTGTGGCTTAAAAGATTCCAATCCATATTAAATAGTTCAGTTGCTTTCTCACCATTTATTATTGTTATTGTTGTTATTATTATTGGGGTCAGGGGACCACTTTCAGGAACCAGTTCTCTCCTTCCACCATGTGACTTCCCAGGATGGAACTCAGGTTATTAGCTTTGCTGTAAAGCTCCTTTGTGTGCTGAGCCACCACCTGGCCAGCCAGCTTCAGCAGGAGGCGCTGCACTGAATAACAAGGGCAGGGTACATATAGCAGAGAAAAACTCTCCTGGCCAGAGGGGCAGAAAGACAGGAAAGGGGACTATCCCTCTCTCCCTTCAAGACATCCCCAATAACCTATAATTCTTTCATGTCCCCCCACCCTGTGTGTGTGTGTGTGTGTGTGTGTGTGTGTGTGTGTGTGTGTGTGTGTGTCCCTGCAAGTGCTTGGACCTGGACGAGCAGGCAAGATTGACTAGGGGGCCCAGAGATCCACTTGTCTCAGCTGCCCAGTGCTGGGATCTTGAGTGTGCACCACAACACCTGGCACTTAAAAGTATTTTTAAAAGATTTTTTTTAAATGTGCAATAATATTTTGTTTGCATGTACAACTGTGTACCACATATGTGTACCTGGTGCTTGCAGAGGCCAGAAGAGGGACTAAGGTTCTCTGGAACTGTAATTACTGATGGTTGCTGGGTGCTATGAATTGAACCTCAGTCCTCTATAAGAGTAATATGTACTCTTCACCAATGGCATCTCTCCCGCCCCAAGGTATGACAATTTTACATCTGTTCTCAGGGGGATTCAGGTCCTCATAGCTTCATGCTGAAAGGAGAAGTATTTTAACCAAGTAATCCATCTTCTC